CATGCTCCACCGCGCGAGACTTCAAAGACAGGAGAAGCTGCAGAACTTCTTGTCTCCTCTGCCATCCACCTAGAATGACTCGTGCCGTCCCTTTCGGAGTAGCCCGGTAAAGCAGCTTGCCATGTAGTTGCTTTGAATAATCCAACATCAAGGGTAGGGCCTCCTTCAGCAAGGACGCAGGTGTTTGACATGCGGGGCTTTCACCGACAATCCCCGTGTATGGCGAAGGGCTGGGCGCGCAGAGAAAAACATGTAGATGACCGTCAATGAAGAAGTTTCGTCGAATGTCAATTTTTGCCTCGAGCCCCAGCCAGTCGGGCCAGTCTGAGTCCCTGAGCTGGAACTCCCAGAATGCAGAACCCAACGCCTCCGTACACACATGCCATGCCGTTATTGCTTTGGAGTACAGCTCGGTCGATGTTTCGGCTCCCTTCACAAGAAAAGCTCGGGTGAGGATCGGCAGGCTTCCTGCAACCGCTGCCGCGCAGCTCTCATTCCCGCGCCGTCGTGGAAAATGCCTCAGCACATCTCAGCTCTACATTGGTACCATTTGCAGGAGTCCAGGGGCACCAAAAAGGACCTAAACCCCGTTTTCCTCCGAGGAGCTCCGGGACCAAACAGAAGATGTCCCGAGCAGAACGGCATCGCCGACCCAAACTACGGAGAAATCCTTCGCAGCACGTGCTGGCACCCCTGCAACCGCAGTCATTGCAGGCCCGGCCACAGCAGAGGTCCCCGACCTGTGTCCAGTGATACCCATGCAATGGGGGGTTTTAAATCCAAACAACGCACGACTGAAAAAAAATGATAAGTGGTCGCGAAGACAAGCTTGGGCAAAGTTGTTGGGGGGTGTCCTAGAGGAAGTCAAGAGGCAGTTCAGAGCATGCCACTGTTCCGTCAGCCTTGTCATTATTCTGTACCAGACAAAGTTCGCTCTATTCCTGTGCACTATTCCGCTGGGCCGACCATTCGCTCTGCTCCGAGCCACTTTATCATTGACTACCCAGTGACTACCCGAACATTAACCTTGCTTCAGGTCTTCTTTCCAACTTCCCTGATCTTCCCTGCCTGGCGGCCCTCGCTGCACCAGCTCAGGCGGCTCCCATCCGCAAACACCATTAACAGCGCACAGAAGAGGGCCAACAGCATCAGAATTCGAGGGGCAATTGCTTGACTAGTCAATTTGTAGTTATAGACAATCACTCCAATACTTTGACCAGTCTCTGCTTCTACTGACTAGACGATACTAACTTATGCTTTGCAAAGCCGTCTTGAAGCAGCTTCAACCCGCTCCCTCAAATTGAGATGGATCAATTCAGCTGCGCTACGAGACGTAGGGTATCCACCAAGCACTCCCCGGCACAGCTTCATGAATCCCAGTACAGAAGCCCTGTGTTCTCTCGGCAATTTGGGGAGTTCCCTTGGCGTGTGCATCAGAAGATTGGCAATAGCCATCAAACTCCCTGTCAGGAGCTACATGGGTTACGTAGTGTATGAGATGTACCCCAGCGCATCGATCTGTTGGCAAGGGCGTTGTTGGAGATAGTCTTGAGTCCAGATTGATGCGAGACGTCTCTGGCCTTGGATTCTGTGTACTTAATGAAGGACCTCTGCAGAAAGCCATCAAACCACTGTTTGACCACCAAGCGGGAAAAGACAAGTGCTTGAACTGCAGCATAGCTTACATTCAGATCTTAGCAGACTCGAGCCCACCGGCGGTGAGCTGCTGAGCTGACTCTATAGCTCTAGCTTGGGGTCCGAGCTAAGGATATGTGCCTAGCAATGTCGGTTGCAGATCCTTCCTGCCAACATCTGCCAGCTGCTATGCATTGCCATCCACACTCCAAAAAACAATCCAAGCTGGCAAGCCTCTTTTCCGATCTTCTCAGATCCTCGACTCAAAAGGTCTCGAACGGCCATTGGGCCAAGTTCTGCCAATCAGCGAAACACTTCACGTCACCGTCATGGCACCGGGACTCACGCACCATATGCATTACCTGGGTTGCTGTTAAGGAACTCAAATTAAGTTACTGTATTGGGGAAACCCTATTAATTACCATATATACCCAATATGCTAACTTAAATTAAGTTCCTTAACAGCAACCCAGTTACAGGTGGGAAGGGTTCAACGAAAACAGATCGCTCCTGGAGCCGCACCTGGAGAATACACTCCGCCTGCCCAACGCATATGGTGCCGTTGCAGAGGAGCCCGAAGCAAGGGTTTTCCTCTTTGGCAAACAGGAGTGACCGCTGTGAAGGACAAGTGATTCCAAAGTAGGCCCACAAGTGAAGCCGAGGGACCAAAGCAAAAAAGTCTGTTGTATCATAATACTTCCATGGAGAGCTCCAGTGCCGCACGATGTGCACCTT